CATAAATATAAATAATCCAGTAATTTCTAGAATAAAATAATATATAACTTTACATTTCACCACATTAACGTAACGAATCATATAATACATTTTATTTCAGAAGTTATTAAGGGTACCAAAAGTGGCATATTCACCCTAGGATTCTCTGTAGATAGTTGGGAGGCTTTAATAATATTAGTAATGCTTGAATTAACTTTATTTTTCTCAATTAAATTATTTATTTAATTTAATACTATAATTTGCTTAGGAAGGATTTACTTATAAATAGATGAAGATTTGACAGGTTTATGTATGTTAGTGTAGAATGATACCTGTTGATCTATCGTTGTAAAAAAAATTCGATTATTAAAAATGCTATCAATTATTAAAAATGGTTATAATAAAAGTTCCCGAATATCTATTGAAAGTAGTTATCTCCTATTTGAAAAGAGGTTCTGAATACTGGTACCAGGTCTTCGTTTAGGAATCTCACTCGTTAGCACAACCAACCAAGTTCATATATATAATGAATTTATAAATAATTAATTATATTTACTCATCATGCATTGCATATGGTAGCTTTTTTGTTTGTAAATATTTCAAAAGTATTGCTAAAGTAAACAATTTATTTTTTGCCAGGAACCTATACTAGCATAATGAACTGTAAGAGCGCAAAAAGATACTTGTTTGCTTTTTTTGAACTGCCACAGTACGTTTTTTTTTACATTAAATAACACTTTCTGAAATACAAAGAGAGTACCTATTTACCACAAAAAATTTTAAATAATATAAATAAAATTAAAAATTTGAATAAAAATTTGTGTATATAAATTTTAAAACGCACACTTGTTGATTGATTTAAAAATAGATTGAAGAGAAAAAATAAATAAAAAATACTTTTTGCGCGTTTAGAGATTTCATAATTTAAGAAAAAATATTGATGTCAAAATATAAAACGGACAACGAATTTTTAAATTAATTTTAAAATTTATTAAATTTAAAAAAATTTTTTAAAAATTTTGTGCTTTATAATATCTAAGACCTTGTTTATGGGTTGGATTTATACAGACATTAATTATTACAAAAGAATTATTTCATCTACTTATTCTTGATAAAGTACCGGTGGTGTTAATTTGAGAGAACTACGAGGGTTATTCGTAAGATTTGGGGATTATTATGGCCAAACACAAAATCAGAGATTTGTAAAGTATTGTAGCCAATATAGAAAGAAATGGTTTTAAATTTCTAGGTGTTCATAACTTTTTCTATTTCCACTAGATACACTTTTCCAGTAAAGTTTCCAATTTTAACCCCTTTAAATAGTACATTACCGCAAAATCATCAAAACATCATCTTTTGTGGATCTAATTGGCAAGATTCAAATTTCCTGGAAATAGCTATGTTACTACGGATCATAGTAAAGACAGCTATTTTAAATAAATTTTTCAATATAGTTTAGTTTATAGTTTAGAGATATCAGGATTTAAAATTAAAAATCTTTACATGAAAACTACCAACTGGAGGCGTCTATTAGTTATTATCCGTTGTTGGTCATATCTTGTACTTTCATTCATTAAGTTAGTGTTTAATTTACTTCAACTTATATAGTCTCTTATATAGATAACTCCTTTTGTATTTAATTAATTAAGTAATTAGTATACTACGAATTTTGATTTTATTGACTAGTCACAGCTATCACAGTTAGTCATATCTTGTTGTACTTTCATCCGTTATGTTAATGTTTAATTTAATTAAACTTATAGTCTATATATAATCACTTGATCTCTCTTACTTTTAAACTTATAATCTTTATATAATCTCTTACTACTTTTGTAATTAATTAATTAATTAATATAGTCCGAATTTTGATTATATTGATAAGAGTAAATTATTTTGATGTCCAGTCACTGCTGACAAAAGGATTCAATGACTTTAACTTTGCAATTTGGTAAGTATTAACAGTACTTAAGAGCTTAAGAGCTGTGTATCTAATATATTTTTTAATGTTTTCAACTTTCATATCGTTTTGATAACTATTGTATAATCACTAGTTACTACCAGATGACATCTGCATATTTTTTGTTAGTGTAATCTGTGACGGTTTTAGCAGTATTACAGCTCTATGAAACCTATCGCACCCTCTATCTACAATCTACGTTTATTGAGTAACCACAATGGTATTGTCCAAGGCTAATCTTCTTGTGAATAAACGAATCTTTGAATTTCTGATGCAATGAGAGATTAATCCAAGGCATCCATGTTCGGTGGCAGGACTTGCTGCTTTAGTTTAAACTTTAAGTAAGGGAAAGGCCTCCGAATCTGACGTAATCCTGTCGTTTGTTGTTGCATATATTTACTTACTATATTATATGATTATAGTTATAAATATTCTGGCTGGCATTGATGATGGAATAATAGTTTTTACGATTGTTTCTAGAGATATACAGTGAGTCACGCAGGCACCTCAACATAATGTTATAATTTGAAAATTAAGATAGATATAATATTTAGGAATAGGAAGGGAATATATATACTGTTGTTAATTAATTTGTACGTATATATTATTTTTTTCCATATTATAATTATATTATCTATGTTATAGTTTATAGTATTTAACTCAATATTTTTGCAACTTTTTATTTTATTTATTTATACTTTATCAGCAAAAGCAAAAGCATTTAAAATAACCTCTTCACAAACACCTAAAGTTGTAGACACGTAACTATATTTGCAGAGAAACAAATGTGATAAGGGAGGGAAGTGTGAATGTTATTCGATGCACCTGTTGCATTTTTTTATAATAAAATACTGAATATTCAATAGAGTTCTAGGAACGTCAGTATGCAAATCTAAATACAATTGACGTAAGCAAAGTTCTTATCATTAAAAAAATGTTTTGACATGCTTCCCCCCTTTTTTATTATCGGCGTTTAAACAATGTAGTCAAATTGTTATTATATTTGTTTATTTTTAAACAAAAAATAAATTGTTTAAGGTGAATTATGGTATATTTAAAAAAAATTAATTTTTATTATATATGATATAATAGACCACACATGTGGTCTATTTGCGTTGTTTTTTTGTTATGTTTTTTTATTTCCCGCCTATTTTTGCATAAGATAAAAAAGTAGTTCTGCAAAAAATTCAAATTTTTTTAAAAGAGGAGTTAAAGGGTAAGTAAAATCTTTAAGATTGGGTACATAGCCCGCATTTTAGAAAAAGTATATACTATTGCCTTTAAATGTTCATAAAAATTATTGCAAATCGGTTAGAGATATGTAAAAGCGCCCAGAACTTAATTACATTAAGTTTATTGACCCAGAATACGTAATTAGTGAACATTTTCTGGCACGCAATTATACATCTACTATTAAAATATATTAGCACTAAAAAAAGTAAGAAATAATATATCTGAAGGCTCAGTTAGTCGATACGTACCGTAAGAACTTAAGCGAACTTAAGCCAAAGCGATACACAGGCGTGGTAGGTTGTATCGACTAACAGAGCCTTAAATCTGTTGATTCTTGTCATAGTGAATATTTAATAGTTCTTTCAGTCTACGTTCCAATATATAAATTAACATATAGGTATAGTGGTAAGCCGGAGAAATCTAAGAACACCTATTGTCAAATATTATAAGAAGAATAAGATAATATGAATAATTACATATATGTAAGTATACAAGAATGACATGTCACAATAATTCTCAAAATATGCAGTGATGTGGTGACATAGTTTCTAACCCTTTCAATATTTATACAACAAAAATTAGGTATGGAGGCCCGTATTATAAAATTTATTTCAGATGGGGCTTTTAGATAATCTCAGTGCTTTAAATTATTTTTTTATTTATTAAACATTCATGATACCTTAATTATGAATTTACTTCAGAAGGTGTAAACATAGGCCTTTGTTTTATTTTTAGAGGAGGAGACAAAGCCCTTTTCGAAGCAGTTCCAAAGAAGAAGATCTGGAGAATTGTTTTTACTAGGCATGGAACGACTTGGATCGAATGAAGTAAATTGGAAGTGCATATGGTAAGATATTGTATCGGCATGAGTATTCAAAAATTATATTATTTATGCATTTATTAAACAAAATTAAAGATAAGTTCCAGTTATATTTTTTTTTTCATTCGTTAAATAAGCGCCCAAAGAGCACTTAAAACAAAATCAAAAATTTTAATTACTACCGTTTAAAACAAAATGTCGGTTCAAACTTTTTTTATATATATGACAATTTATAAGCTTTTATAACTGGAATAGTTATTACAAAATTGAAATACCTATGCACGTGTGTTTTACTAAAAACCCAATTACCGTGAAGCGAGGTCTGGAGAAGTGAAGATATGATATTTTACACCAGTTTTTAGAAAATGGAGGAGTAACGTAAATTATTTTGTCTCCAATCAACTAATGTAAAAAAAGCATTATGTCTGCTTCGAAAATATCGCCTCGCGCACTACTCTTCATTTTTCTCTTAATTTTTAAAGCTTTACCTCCGACTCGGGCGGTCATTTTAAAAAAAGAATTTTTATTTTATAACAGATGATGATTTATTAAAATAACGGAAAAGAAAAAAAAAACAGTACGCAATTTAATTTAATATTCGAATGGAATGAAACATATATACCGTATATCATATATAATGTATAAAATAACTCATTTCTTTATAATTAATGTTTAAGGCTTTTCAATTAACAAAACAGTTATTATTGAATTTGCTTAACAAATACAAAATAAAACAGGGCTGCAAATATAACTGCTGCCCTAAAACTAAACACGTTTTAATATTAACACGAGACCTATTAAGGCACGAATACTGACGAAAGATCACGAGTATTTCTAACAACACCGGCTATGCAAAACGTGTTTGCATGGATGGAGCATACGCCTTAAAACACACTACACGCTATTCAAACAGTATCAATGGAAAACGAAAAGCACATGCTGCGCCTAAATTTATGCAATGCCGCATGAAATAGAAGTAAAATATAAAATATTAAGGGTTCAAAAACTTACCACGTTGCCATCTTCAAAGCATACTGTCGCTTCGAATGACTTTTTTTCGAAAAGGTATAACAATTCGTGCAAATCTTTTCGAGATACAACTTCCGTGCACATTTTTTCCGCGATGCATTTATTTTTACTACTTATATGGTTTTTAATTTAAGAATGCCGTTTTGCTTTAAATTTGAATTTCCATAAAATCGTTAAGTAAATACATTTAAAATTTATATTAAAAAATAACAAACGAAAAACTTGTATTAAAAAATGCGTAGAAAACGAGGCAATCGATTTGCCAACTAAAATACAACAATAAAATACCAACAATAAATTTTTAAATACAATAAAACTTTTATTACGATGTACTGATTAAAATATTTTACAATCGTTTAAGCATAAAAAAATTCATTTTTATAAATTTGTTGACGTAATTAAATATGTTGTTCGCTCAGCTCCCTTCTAACGTTTGATTTCACTTCTTGCACTTCCGAAATTTAACCACCCAAAGCGGTTAATTAGAAAACCGTTTTTGATATTCTTGTGATAATTTGTTGTTATTTTTTTAAAAATTTTTTTTGCGTTTTTTCTATTTAAATTTTTTTTTAAGTTTTTGCGTTCTTAATTTTAGTAAACTTAAAGCGAAAAGCACATACGCAGCGTCACGAAGAAATGAAATGAAAACAAGTAAAAATTTGTTAGCTTAACAGTGTTGCACTGTGAAAAAAAAGTAACATACATTTTTTGTAGTTACGATTTTATTAGATATTTCGCATATAGTAAAATATTTATAAAAAATTAATTTATTAAATATTTCTTAATAAAAATGTTTTAATTTTTATTTATAATATTTAAATAGTATAAAAAATTAATCTTATTCTTATAATTCATCAATTTCATATAATTTTAAATGGAAGAGATAGTTGTTGTTTTAAATTTTCACAACACTGTTAACTCCACCCGTTAGAGCAAAGATTATAAATACTGAACGCGTTTGTTTAATGATATTTTTAAAACATTCGCTTCAGACTGAAATCTAGTATATGAATGAATATATATATATACATAATATATATATGTATGTATATAATATATATATGTATATATATTATGCATATATGTTAACTCCACCCGTTAGAGCGAAGATTATAAATACTGAACGCGTTTGTTTGATGATATTTTTAAAACATTCGCTTCAGACTGAAATCTAGTATATGAATGAATATATATATATACATAATATATATATGTATGTATATAATATATATATGTATATATATTATGTATATATGTTAACTCCACCCGTTAGAGCGAAGATTATAAATACTGAACGCGTTTGTTTGATGATATTTTTAAAACATTCGCTTCAGACTGAAATCTAGTATATGAATGAATATATATATATATACATAATATATATATGTATGTATATAATATATATATATGTATATATATTATGCATATGTACTAGGTTTATCTAATCTCAGCCTGAAGCAAATTTTTTTAATAATACCAACAAACTCTTATTAGACATAATATTTATAATACAGTATTTATAATGTTTTCATATTGTTTGAAGATCAATTTTAAAACCGATGATGTAGTAATTGTGATGATAATGGCGATGATGATGCTTTAAAAACTTATTCATTATTTATACTTAAATTAACTATTTTACTTACTCTTAGTCGCAACAACCGCTTTGCTCGTATCGGATCTTAATTGGAAAAGGAAAGCATGAATGATAACCAGCTGATACATGAACTGACAGTTCCTATATGCACTGGGTTGCATTCTTTAATGGTAAACTGCATTGTTGTAACGATCAAAGTAAGTTTACAAATATTATGTGGAGCTGAGTTCTAACACATATAAGTGAAGCAAAGGAGGGTAGGGATCTTGAGCATGCAAAATATTTTGTATAAGACCTGCCTTTTTTTTAGTTTAAGAACAATCTTTCCTAAAAACGAAACAATAACGGCATTCTTACTCATAAACAATCGCCTCACATGCTACCATCATCTACCCACATCTCAACTCTTAATTTTCCATGTTATCCGATTGTTAGATCATCGAGGATTACAACAACAACACCAAATTAATGGTATACAATTAAACAGGTATTATATTGGGTTAATATGTATAAATAGATTAACATTTTCGAGATTACGTGCCAATACAAACATTTTATTTTAAAACTTACTATCTATAATTATGGAATATTTGAAACTTTCATATTATATCATCATATATACAGTGAAACTTCCATAACTTCAAGTACTATTTCGCAAAGGAAAGGTTTGACTTATGGACACTTCGAGTTAGGAATTTTTTTTTATTTTTGAAAGAAATTAGAATTACATTGTAAGATATTTATTTATTTGAAATCAAATACAGCACAGTAGTTATAGTAAGGTAAAATATTCAAAAATAAGGGTTTGGGATTTTATTTATTTTTTATCAGTAAATGGCTTGTTCAGTATATTTACTTCCATTTATCAAGCCAACCAGTGCTTGCCTTAAAATTATCATCACCAAACAGTTTCGCAAATTTCACTGCCTTCTTTTCTAATATTCCTCCAGATATGGGAATGTTTTGATCGATATTTTTAAATATTGAATATGGAACAAAAGTTTTAATTGACTCGTGACAATATTTTTATTCGAGTTTTAGAAAAATTCGAGTTTTAGAAGTTTGAATTATGAAAGCAGAATTGTATGTTATTAGCTCTCTAAAACGTTGTTGCACTATTTTTAGTTCAAGTTATAGAAGTTCGATTTATGGAAGTTTGACTTATATGTTGTTCTGTATTTGTCATTACATTTAAAAGTCTGCTTTAAGTGAATCTTTAATTCCAGAACTAGTAAGTATGTATCTATAAAAAATAATAGTTTGGAAGTTAAATGAAAAATTAATATCATCTTCGTTGAGACGAAAAAATAACAACTTATTTTTATTTCTCTTAAAAGACTAACTAACTAACTAAATTTGTGAAAAACCAAATTTATCTATATCATATCATACCTATATCTATGTATAAGTTCAAAATTATTTTTGAAAAAATAATTTTAATAATGTTTTTTAATTGAATTATTAAAATTATTTTTAAAATTTATATTTTATAGAACTCAAAGTCTGTAAAAGCGGTAGATATTTATGAGATTAAATAAATTATGTGATGAGGAAAAGCTAATTTAAACAATATAGTTTTATGTTAAATGATCACCACCAATATTCGAAATCGAATTGGCAAATAAAGAAGAAGAAAAAGATTAGCAAATAGCTTTATATTTGTGATATTGTAATGGAACTTAGTTCTAAATTTTATTTATAAATTAATTAAGTTTTTTCACATTTTTAATGTTTCTATTTATATTAATTACTTTGATAAATTAATATATGTAATATATATAGGATTATTATAAGGATACTTATGTTGTAGAATTTTTTACAGAATGTGGTGTATAGTTCACATATAAAGAATATTTTATTATTACTTTGTTTTGGTTTTTAGTTAAATTGAATCCAATTTTAAAAAGTGTTTACTGATTTTTTATATATAATTCACATTTATTTTTTTTTTTTTGCTTTTGAAGTAAATTATTTTATATTTCTAGCATTGCATTTTTGTTTTTACATTTTTATGATTTATTTTTAACCAAATTAATTTTATATTTTAACCAGTCTTTGTGCATTTCAACTGTCCGCAAATTTTTTTTTGTATATT